TCCGTCGACTCAGCGTAGCCTAGCCAAGTCAGGCAACCAGCCACTTCCGTATGGAAATTCCAGTTTTGGATTGATTCTCCCCTTCTGTTCTACTCAGATGGCATTGCATTGCAATATAATGCCGACTTTTGTTTGGCTCATTGATGAATTCGTCAAAGTTTGTGAGTTCCATTTCGGTTACTCTCATGCTAGAAGAAACTTGAAATGATGCTGAGTCGATCAAAAATCATAGTAACCTAGGTAATGGGTATCAAAATACGCCCCTCTTTTTGCAAAAGATCCAGTAGTTGGTTCTTTCATCATATCCCTCGTTTTTCAGAGCATTGAATCCAAATCTGGAGTTGTTCAGCAAGTTCTCCTGGGGCGTTTTAATATATTGGCAGATAAAATCGACATTTCCTCACTTCTTATGTAATTTCTCTCATGATTTTCAAAATTATGCGTTCGAGCAAAAAAACCTTTTTCAATTCATTTTGATGAACATTGACTTTTCTACAATTTGGGACAAACCACAGTGTGACGAATTAACCTGATCCCATAAGGATACAACACACAGCGCAGTGGTATGTGTATAGTTCGAAATATAGGTTAATTTCGAATATGCGCAAACTATCTCAAAAAAAGTAATTCGAAGTTTAAATTCATTTCCAAGCTGAATATACTGGACAACACTGTTCCGTCGATAAAATTCTAGCAAACTCTTGTAGCTTCGATTCACATTCATAGCGATTTGTGGAAATTGAACGATCGACACATATTCTGCAAAAAAACTGAAAAACAAAAATATATGATTTTTGTAAGATTCCACATGTACCCTTTCCATGAATTGAGAGCTTTGCAATTCTTCCATAAACTCACTATAATTGTGTATCATTTGTGGAATTGAAATTTCAGTGAAAGAATATCATGGATCACTGATATAATAAGGCGCAAATGACTATTTCGAAAGAGTTTCTGTTCAGAATGATTTGACGAGTTGATAACAAGTGCAAACAGACAATCGACTCAACCTTGAAGTAGTGGCTGATGATTGTCATCTAGATATCTTATATTAATAATAGCGATGTGAATTGCTACAGGATGCTTCGTATGGTTCACACATTCGAAAGCAGCATTACCCACTCAGCCTAGCCTCCTTGCACCTGCACATTGCCGTTGCGCACTCTTTTTGCACTCGCATTCAACCAGTTGAAGGAGCTTGTGAGGTACAGGGGGTTGTTGAATGTGATGGACTGTAGGTCGCTGCTTGTTTGCCTCCACTCAAACTTTCACGGCTCTTTCCATGAAACTAGTCAACTCATCCATAGCATCACTTGCACATTAACCTGCAGGAAATGAGGGTGTTCTGCAGCTTCAGTTGGGGAAAATGTGGCCATATTCGATGAGGATTTATAAGATGCAGGCTCACAACATTTGTACCGCAGCTTTTCTTGGGGCGCTTTCCTTCATGTTTTGGAGCGCACGAGAGGAAACTCTCATAATGTTGAACTTTGTGCGTACCTAGGGAGGATAAGAGAGCAAGCAAAAAGTCAAATTTTTATTGGAATTTCAAAGATTATCATTTCGTGCGAATACTTCCTTCGGCAAAGAATTTCATAACTGTGCTGTTATATAGACAAACGTGTTCTGTTGAAGTGGTGTTGGCATATGTGTTTCCCTCATACAAGACAAACCTCACCATCTGTGTAGATAGTTTTGACATCAATGTTCGTTGAACTCAGTTCAGAGAACAATAAAAAAAGGCTGTGGTCGGGATTGTTGTCATAGTTCTCAGAGTTTTCTGTGTTCGAACAAGACGAATGTGAAATCACAGCCCCTCACATCGTGAAAAAAGAAGATTTGATAGAACACTCTTCCAGTCATTGCTGAAAAGGCTGTCCTCTACCCTAGTTCGAGAAAGTAGACGTTGGCTGGAGCTGACAGGCTCATCAGGGACATCAACATCACTTTCTAAAATGATCTTTATATTGTGAGCCGATTATAATAATATGGCTGTGGTAACAATCAATGTGTCAGCATCCTCCTTCGTTTGATATGACAATATTTTATCCTCCCCCAGTTTCCACAACTCAAATGGGATTGTTTGCCAGGAAGTGCCATTGAGAGGCTTTCAGCGATACGTCTCCAGTGAAAACCATTTCAACGGCATTCTTTTTTGTTGCCCTCTTTGAGCGCTCCACAAGTTTCGTGCTGGTTAATGATTCACAGTATCGAATATAA